AGGAGTGTAGGGTCATGAACCTAGAGGCTTAATAATGAGCCCTCAGCTCATACCAGAAATGCTTATCCATTGAAAGCAATGGAGACAGAGCAAGCCCCGAGTGCACTGGTTAATCATAAATTGGCTTTGAGCTACTGGTGTGGTGTAATGTGGCTGAGTAAAAGACAAGTGCGATTCCAGAGCGTTCTGGGAGGCATTTTTCAGGAGTGGTGGGGAAATACTAATGCTGTTGTGCTTGTAAAACTGCACCTGGAATTGTCTTTACAATACCCGTCACCCATGTTGGAAGACAGATGGATTCAGCTGGAGCAGGTGGAGCGAACAGCTACAGGGATTAGCACAGGGCACTCTAATATGCGGGGTAAACTGGAAGAGCTTGACTTATCCATCCTAGCAGAATAAAGGCTAAGGAAGAGTACAACTGTGCTGTATAAATACAAGAGTGAATTAAACACAAGGACTGAGAAGGCATATTTAAACAAAAGAACAATACTGCCTTGAGCAAGTAGGTGTGTGGCTTGGCTGTGATTAAAGTTTCTAACAAAAGGTTCTGGAATACTAATAGCAGAAAGAAACTAAAATACTCTTTAGATAGATTTTAATAAATTTATGGAGACTGTATGAAATAGTTACCTATGAAGAGAAATCGAGCCCACAAAGCCCCTTTTACAGTGTACTCCTAGGCTTCCTGCAGTACATTGTTAGTAACATGTTTTCCTTTTGATCTTTGTTAAGCGCATATTATTTGTGTCTGTGCCAGGTATTATGCGTGTCTGAATAGCACCCACCCTGGAACTAAAAGCTTGCAAGTGCAAGCCTTAAACACTCTGGTTTTGGACTAAAAGAAGCAGATTCTCTAGTCCAGGGAGGTACAATTCACAAAGGTATCCACCTTCAAAGATTTCAACTTAGGAACATGAAGTTGGGGCCCCTCCTTCACCAGAATACTTCTGCTTCCTCATCCCTGTGTCCTTTATCTCTTCAGTCTTCCCCTCCTAACTGTCTGGCTTCTCAAATGTGTTACCAGTTGCTATGACACTTAATCCTTCCCTTCTTCCATGTGTTTTCTACCTCCTGGTGTTTCTCAGCCTGCCTAGACAACCTTTCTGTGCTTCTCTGTTTCTTCCTAAACTGAAACGTCCCCTCTCGGGTGGCACAATGAAGTGCCCCGTGCTTTTATTCCACACACTGCAGTGCAGGAGCTCGGCTCTCTGGTGGGATTAGTATTGGCAAACAGCAGTTGTAACCCAGCAGCTGTCCCAGTTCACAGTACAGTGCAGGCAGGTGCCCAGTCACTGCCAGCCAGAACTGACCACCTACCACCTCTGCTCCTGCTCCTTTATCTCCGCATCTTTTACACCCACCGGCAGCAGGCTTGCAGACAGTCTTTCCTCTGCCCTGTAACTCCAAGCCCTTTTCCCCTCCCACCACCATGCACCCTCCCCCAAAGAGGGGCATCTAACTCAAGAGTTTTCATTGCTGCCCCAGGTATCTGAGCTGTCACGCATGACGGCGACTTGTCCACCATACAGAATCACAGAATGGTCGGGGTTGGAAGGGACCTCTGGAGATCATCTAGTCCAACCCCTCTGCTAAAGCAGGTTCACCTAAAGCAAGTTGCACAGGACTGCATGCAGATGGGTTTTTGAGTACCTCCGGAGAATACTCCACAACCTCTCTGGGCAGCCTGTTCCAGTGCTCTGTCACCCTCATAGTAAAGAAGTTTTTCCTCATCTTCAGCTAGAACTTCCTGTATTCTACTTTGTGTCCATTGCCCCTTGTCCTGTTGCTGGGCACCACTGAAGAGTATGGCCCCATCCTCTTGACACCCACCCTTTAGGTGTCTATAAGCATTGATAAGATCCTCTCTCAGTCTTCTCCAGGCTAAACAGACCCAGGTCTCAGCCTTTCCTCATGAGATGCTCCAGTCCCCTCATCATTCTTGTAGCCCTCCCCTGGCCTCTCCCCAGTACTTCCTGGTCTTTCTTGACAGATGTGACCTCACTGGGGCACAGCAGAGAGAGAGGATAACTTCCCTTGACCTGCTGGCCACACTCTTCTTAATGCACCCCAGGATCCCACTGGCCTTCTTGGCCACCAGGGCACGTTGCTGGTTCATGGTTAACTTGGTGTCCACCAGGACTCCCAGGTCCTTCTCTGCAGAGCTGCTTTCCAGCAGGAAAATGTCAAGATCAGTGCGGCAGGGCAGGCCACACAAATCCAGTCAACAACCAACACAGTGACATACAAAACAGTCCCTCTAGCTAAAAAAAATTCAGTTCCCAGTGCTTTGAAGTCCATTTCATGGGGTATGGTGCCACAGCATTTGCTTGTGACTCTTGACAGCACTTACACCCTTATTGTAGAGGTATTGGACCATAGACCACGCCATAAAACTGCACCCAGGACCAGGCAAAGCCACCTGGTTGGGTTCCTGCTACTTTCTCTGAATGCCCTGCACTGCTGAGCTAAAGACGCCTTTTATCACTGTTCAACAGCAAGCATGGGAGGATGCCCATGCTGGGTGGGAAAAAACCTTTCTTCTGTTTACAAAGAAGAGGTTAGCCTGGAATCTCTTAATTGCATCTGGACATTAGTCAAACAAAGGTGTGGTTAGCTAATTAAGATGATTGTATTTTTAATTTCCTGCCTCTTTCTAACGTTCCTGTAATCGGATACCTTCTTCTTTATTTGAGAGACACACTGAAAAATAACAAACTTTATAGATAAGGTCTTTTTTGCTCCTCTGACTTCTGTGCTTACTTTCCTGCCCTCTCTGGTGGCATTGTGGGAACCAGGTTTAACATGAAGCATGACTGCTATATAACCCTAGCAGTGATTTTTAGACATATTGTGCACACCTCTTCATCCTTTTTCAGTTGCCCATCTCCTGTATGTGAGGCCAGTGGTATTGTCCTCATTATTCTGGGGGGCCCTGGGACATCCCAGGTAGGCTACAAAGCCCATTCCCCACTGTAGCTGTCCAGACAGATTAGTTCCTAGGTGAATCATAAAAGCAATGGAGAAGTAACTAGCAGCATGTAAGGGGAAGCTACAATGAAGTCACAGTAACTATTAAGTGCCTGATACCTAAAGACTGAGAAATGCAGGAACAGAGAAGTAGCAATAGTTGGGTTAAATTTTCCTTTGAATTTCTCCTTACTATGAGTCTGTTGAGGCTGAGGGAAAAACACATATATGGAAACCGCATAAACTGCAACATCAGATTGCAGTTGTATTTAAAAATATCTTACAGCAAATATTCTTAAAAATAACTTTTCCACTATACAATTTCCATACAGTTTCTCTTTACCTGAAGAAAAAAATTTTTCACGCCCAAACATATAAGCAGTTTTCTCGTTTGCTAAAGCTCTAGCTTTTGTTTCCTTCAGGAAACACTGGAATTATCTGGGCTCGCTCTGTACTAAGGTTACACCTACCCCCTGCTGTGGCTCTGCTGCAGTGCCATGAAACTTTCAACTCTTATCATTTCAGCAAATTGTTTTTCAAGGCAGCTGTATAAAACGTTTGCATGGGCAGGGGTTTTTGGGTTGGTTTTTTTTTTATTTCTTTTTAACCCCTAGACCTTTCTGCACCCTGGAATGTCTCTACTTCTGTAACAAGTGGTTTAAGAGTCTAATTATCCCACCATAGAAACTTTACTGTTTATAACTCTGGAGCCATGACTTGGCACTGGTAGCAGCTGCACGAAGCTCTGCTCAAAGATACCCCTCGCAACGACCGTATCTACATGCAAGCTGGGGTGTTTAGCTACTTCAGAAACTGCTGTGGGGCCCAGAGTCAACCACTTCAAAACAGTTTTCTAATATGAAGACAGCAAAAGTCTCTTAGATATCCTCTTGCAAAACTAGAGGAACTCTTGCGTACATCCTGAAGCTGCTGAAACACGCTGGTTCCCAAGCTCTCACCTCTGGCTTGGTGAATTTCCAGCACTAGATAGGGGAGGACAGAAAAAGCATCAGGTATATAGTCCCCAAAAATGCTAAGCAGCTGGGAGTGGGAGCAAGGCAGAAGCCTTGTTGAGGCTGCCCTGAATCTAATAGTCCAGAAATTTAAGTATCTACCCAGGAGTTTTGTTCTCAAGTCTTTCCAACCTTTAATTCAAAGATGGGTCTCAACCACTGACATAAAGTTAGAAATGCCATGCAGAATGGATGTCTGCTTGTCACCTTCTCTACTGTCTATTTCACCGCATAGTTATTCTACGCTCAGAAATCTACCAACAGAAGAAACCCTGTAGGACCTGTGTCAAAACAGGCAGTGTCTCATTTAGAGAATGCTAGAGACTAGAATCAAAGCCCTCCTTTAAAAAGAAGTAGTTCAGGTATGAGAACAGGTTCCCTTCACCTATCTCCCCTCTAGCTGCTTGGCAAACATGGAGTGGGGATCTTTGCATCGATGTAGTTTATCCATCAGATTTCTCTTAACGTCAGGGGAACTTTAAAGACTGCCAAGCATAAGCAGGCATTTTCCTCTCAGACAGAAGTCAGCCCAGAAATAAGTTTCCAAGGGAGAGCACAATTCTCTGCCCGTTCTTTATGTGAGTAACACTCCAAGACTTCATATCCCACCAGGAATGCTCTCCACAGTCAAGATTTTACCTCAAACTTGGGGCAAAAGACACTGAACCTCACTTTTAGAAACAGCCAGTGGTAGGTCTGGGTTTGGGACATGACTGCAACTCAAAGAGCAGGTAACTCCAAGTATACATGTAGGTATTCTAACTTGGATAATGGGTAACGTCACTGAGAGCTCTTGTCAGTAAGGCGCTGTAAGACAAGACGCACACCGTGAGAGTACGATTAGAGCATGCCTAAATGATTGAACAAGGCAATGGTGAAAATAGTCTGTTGGGACCCCCACTTCATCATTGCACACTAACAGAAAAAGTAAGTTCCCTGAAAACTGATCTGTAAAAAGAAGCCAGATAGCATCAGACTAGAACCAACAGATTATTATTTCTGCAAAAGACAATTAACTGCAGTAATTAATTTTTTAGACCATCCCCACAGTCTTCTTGATTTAGCTGACTAGGAAGTCCCATGTTATGAAAAAGAAGCAGATTTCTGATGCTGAAAGACACCATGGTTATGCCTCTTCACTTCTTCTAGCTGAATCACTGGGAATTTTACTTGTTTTTCAAACCATTTGGCCACAGTCAGAAGCTGCTTCTCCTGGAATGAACGTCCAATGAACTGAAGCCCAACTGGCAAGCCTCTCTCTGAAAGAGCAGTAGGAACACTTATGGCTGGCAGTCCTGGGTTAAAAAAAAAAAAAAAAAGACATGCAAACACTATTAAACAAATCCAGTGGGAGTAATTTTTGCAAGAATTCTACTCTTAGAATTGTTTTAACGTAGAGGAAAAAGACTAGTTAAAATAATTTAAGTCAATGAACTAAGGATATTGCTAGGTGATCACAAGAAATTAGAGTGATTTAAGGAGTCAGCATCCTCTGAAAAGAGAATCAACTCTCCTAAGAAAGAGATTTTGGTCTCTGGAACTTGAATGGATTCATCTTTCTGCAGCCCCTACCCTGCTCCAAGGTGCCTCATTTTAAAAATCTAGTCCTACATTTTAAAGCATTTAATAAATAAGCTGTCCTTATACCTGGTTATCACCAAGAGTTACAACACAGAGGTGAAATACCTTGATTTTAAAGAAGAGGTTAAATAGCTGAAGGGAATGGACATTAAAAGTGACTAGGCAGGGGAAAACGCAGTTGAATTCCTGTCCCTACGCACCAGCCATGTTTGCAGCCTGTGTTAGGATGTCATCTTGTGCGCTGCGGGTTCTGTTGTCTTCTTTGATGAACTCCTTGTACGGTACCGCATCACTCAGAGTGGTAGGAGTGAGTAAAATATCAACACCGCTCCCGAAAACCTTCACAAAGTCATTGGCAATGAGACGTCTGACTTTCTGTGCCTTGATAAAGTAATTCTCATAGTTCCTAGAAAGAATATGGACATGAGGGCCTGATGCTAATTCCAAAAATATAGAACTTAATTTCATAGTTACTGTAAAAAAGACAAGGTCAGTATTCCTTATGGTTAAAAGACTAACACTGGTACTTGAAATTTTTGATACACCAGAAGCTTAGTCATCAAACATGGTGTTTATGCTCTCATGGCAATGAAGCTCTCAGAGAAGGAAGGGATGAGGGCACACTGCTGAAGAAAGGTGAAGGGAAAACAAAACCCTAGTTTACAATAATTAACTAAAAATCAAAACAATGCTTTTATAACCTTCCTGAAACTAAACTGTGTATTGAATTTCACTGCAAGGCAGCAGAGCAAAGCCTAGAAACAATACAGACCTAAGCAGGTCTGGAAAATAGGCATTAATCGTTTAGGATTCAACTCAGCAAGATACTTGAAACGTGAAAAAGTCCCGTCACCTATGGACTCCTCGATGTGATCTACAGATTTCTAAACTGTCTCTACACCATTCTGAAGGAGAAACAAATTAGTCAGCTTTATGTCTACTCTTCCTTTTAACTTCATATGCAGAACTGGTAAATGTGGAAACCTTAAATTCAGAGAAGTTCAGTTTCAAAAGCAACTGCCATTTAAAACCACAGCTATTCTTAAAAAAAAAAAAAAAAAAAAAGGGGGGAGGGGGGGGAAGGTATTAACAACTGCTACATGCCAGAGTGCTTGTAAATAAAACAACTGAAATGGCCCAAAACTCACTTTGTTCGAGTAACCTAAAGGTTTAGGTTTCTGAAAAACCACAATGAAAATCATCGTAATCAGTAAGAGACAGCAGATTCAAGTTAAGAAGTTATATCATAGGAACTAGCTATTTTTCTACAAACATTTCTGAAACCACCCTAGCTGTTCACTTCAGAAAAGCAGTAAAAGGAACAAAAAGGACCTCAATCAATATTTTAAGATGTAAAGAATATTTTGGGTAAAAAAAAAAAACAACCAAAAACCTGCTAAATCAAACATATACTCTCTGTTAATTCTGATACAATGCTGACAAGCTTCCGTTGCTTCCTGAACAACCAGCTAGCTACTTTGCACATTGCAAAAGCATGAAAAAAAAAAATGTAAAATGCAACATTTGCAGGAGACAGATGTGTTTTCTCTACTATTTATTTTAAGAAAGTTTTCTGAACCCTGAGTTCTGTTTTTCAGAAGTAATTTACTGTGGACAGGAACAGGACTCTCCTGGTCAATCCTGATGGAAGCCAATTGTATATTCCCTCACAGATGGGTGTACTACGTGAATTTTAAATTAGCCTCAGGAAAGCTGATCTGGACAGTTGTAATGAGAAGGAGCACACTCGGCAGGAATATCGGCATTCCATAGAAGCTGGTTGTTACACACTGACTGACAACATTCCTGTCTCTGAGAGCAACTAGATGTCACATCTGATGAATACTCTTGCTGACAGAGCTCTTTCTGTAGTGCACTTGCTTTCAGACTGATTACACTACTAATATTTACGTTAGTAACTGAACAAATTAAGACAGAGAAAAACAGCAGTTTTACTAACAAATTAGGAGTGTTGGATAAGGAGTGAAAACTAAAAAAAAAAGTCAAATTGATCTATCTCTCTACATGAGCTGAATAAAAGCCTGTCTTCTGTAAAGACATCAGGTCAGTACCTTTGCCAGTGCCTTCCTTTCCCTGTATATTGAGGCCAAGAGCTATAGTTAATTTACTTGCTGTATCTTCTGGCTTTCTCTAAGAAGACCTCACTAGAGTGTACCAGCCATTTTTCTATGCTGTTTTAATGAGATTAACAGCTACAGAACTTTTAACACTATGACAGCAATGGCTTCAGCATGATGTCAGTGTCATACCATAGAATAGATTTTTTGCTTAATTTAACTAATGGGTGCCAGTAATACTCTGGTGGGGGGGTGGCGGGGGAAGATCACAAAGTTGCTTTATTTATTTAACTCAGGATGCTCACTGGTAAGACTAAGGGAAAACATTTTCATTCATTATTAACAGTTCACCAGGTATTATATAGCTAAAGCAATAATAATACAAGTAGCTACTAGTATAAGGATGAATTTTTCTTCATGTTGTGATGAACAATAAATCACCATTTGCTTAAAAAATTGTTAACTTGGAAAATTTGAATTTCAAGATGTTCCGCTTACTGTTTCAACAAGAAATAGTTTCCTGATAGAATTCTTCCCCTGACAACATCATTAAAGCCTTCTCGTCGTGTCGCAGCATACATACTTTCTGTGGACTTGTTCATGTCAGAACGGTGTCCTGAAAACAAGAAGCCATTTGGAAACTAATACTTTTTGTAACCCTTAAAATTTACCAGCATAAGGTCATGTTATACACAGTAATACAACAGGCCACTTTTTGCTGCAGTCTGACATGCTACTATTCTATAAAAAAAACCAAAACATATTCCTGTTTTATTCTAGAAATATTAAACAGATTTTAAGCTCAGACACTTACGTGTCTGGAAGTGAAATATATTAAAAAAATGTATCTATTTACCAATTTTTATTTGGGCAGGGTTTTTACTCTATTCCATCTTGGAGAAATAACACCAAACATTCATCCATGAAAAGCATTTCTACTAATTTTTAATGGCATCCAGCAATGTTTCTATTGTCTGAGAAAAAAGTTTTTTCAAAGGCCTTACCATATTCCAGTCCATCAAACCTGGCCATATTTGATGCCACTTCAGTTGTGCACAGCACATGATAGCAGACAATTGAGTAACAAGTGTGTGGCAGACTCACTTCGATTACTTTAGCACCTGCATTCTTAAAGAGGTCAGCAGCCTTTGACCAGAGAGACAGAATTTCACTAGAAAGCCCTGGTACACGATATTCCTTAGAGAAAAACAAGAAAGGAAGGGATTTTACATGCAGTTTTACTTCTAATGGCAACCAAAATGCAAATACTCCTTGCTAAAAATACACTGAAAGTATTACCTCACCACGATGTGATTTAAAGTACTTAGTAAAGCTTCTTGCATCTACTAAATATTATACAATCAAGCAGTATTAAATTAACAGGATTCAGTCTTCCTAAGAATATTATGTTCATCTCAGTAGGATTAACCCACATATTGCAGACCATGGAATTTCAGTACTTTCTTCTGAAGGAGAAATTGCTCAGTTATCCACTTACTTGTCTAATTCATGGAGACTACACTGCACTGCTCTGCAGTTCGTGGGTAGAAACTCTTCAGGTTTAAATCCTAACACTAGGGCTGCTGTTAACAAGGCAACAGAAATTATGGCCACAGCATACCAGTGGCAGCTGGCATGCCTCAGTGAAATAAACAAAGCAACCCAGCAAAGAAGAACTACAATCAAGGGGCTGGGAGAAGACTTAGGAAAGCTACATTCCTGTTTAAAAGCTAAGTTAAAGATATTCTATTAAAATTCTCTGGTTTTGAAGATACTTGCTTAGTTCTAACTCACAATATCAGGGTCATAATACTGTCTGATCTCTGAGTAGCTGTGACCCATGTTTAATATATGCATGTATCTGTTTAGGATAATCTGTAGCAGAAGGAAACAACTGTCCAAAGGATATGAATAATTAACCAATACCACTATTTTAGATTTATCAAAATCTAACCAGTATGCAGCTAATTAATTTTCTAAGCATAAAATTTTTGCATTTCACAGATCCTGAATAATTAATTGGTCAGTGGACATCTCTGTTTACCAAATTAAATCTTTTGGTTTAGCACAGGTTCAAATACTGAGAATCAAACCAATAGATGTTATTCACTTTGCGTCTTTGAAGGCAGAGCCTTTACTAAATTAAAAATAAGCTGAAGTCCCAAATGTTGTGCCTAAATTGCAAGTATCCTTCCAGTTACAGACATGATTGAATTGTATACATCAGAAGCCAGATTGCAGTTGTCTTTCAATCCCTATTAGAGCTCTATGGATCACAGCTCCTTGTGCCACTCAACTGCCTTGAAAATTCTGCTTCATATTAACACAGTGCCATTTAGACAAGTATCAGAAAGCACTGCACAAACCAGCACTAACCCCACTGTATGAGAAGGCACTAAGAGCAACTTTTTTGAGGTTATACAGGTGACTAAAAGCAACAGAGAGAACCATGAACTTAAGTTCCTCATTTCTCTTGGAACTTCCTGACAGTGCTTCCCACAGCGATGACAAAATGTTTTGGATGAAGCATTAGCATACGCTCACTCCAAACTGCCTGCACAACAGAACATATACCACTCTTTTCCAGGAGCTGCTTGTACTGTCTTCACTGTTTTAAATCATGAGAGACTGGGAGGTGGTGGGCAAGACAGAAATATTTTTTGTTAGGTGTCCTATTTGCTGTTCCTGTTTGACAGGATTTAAATGTTACCTTTGGAATTCCTATTGAGAGCTTGCTGACATCAGTCAGATTGGGTAGTTCAAATGGCTTAAAGTTGTCCTGAACTGTGGTAGAGTCTTTAGGATCATGTCCAGCAAGCAAACCTGAAATATGACATGACATATGAAGAACAGGAAAACTTACAATGGGTAGCCAGAGTTCAATTTGTTTTGAGAGAATGTTGTAAACAATGATGTGTTGTACACAAAGATATATGAAGTAGTAATACCTAACACAACTGCTGCATCATCCACACATCTGGTTAGGATTCCTGGCGCATCCATGGAGTTCACTAGGGGAATGAGACCATGGCGAGAGATCAGTCCATATGTTGGCTTTAAACCTACTACACCACAGTGAGCAGCCGGGTTTCTGGTGGATCCTCCCGTGTCTGACCCTAAGGCTCTATGGTTTCAAAAGGATTATCATTAGTAAAATAAATCAGAACATTTTCAAATAATAAAAATGTATGGCTTTAAGATGCATGGATTTAAAAACTTGTGAATTCCTCCAGATTAGAAGTCATAATCACACAGCCTAAATTTTAGTCTGCTCATTACGTCTGATAGTTTTTCTCTGTTGTCTTATTTTTCTTAGGGCCTCTGAATTAGTCACCAGCAGAGCCCAGTTCTCTCCACAAAGCAGAGGCAGACAGACAGAATTTGGGCCACCTGAATATGGCCCTAAACATCAACTTCTGCCTTCTGTGTTGGTCTCTTCCAGTTCTATAGACGCCAAAAGACACATCTCATATGATTTAGTGTACAATTTTCAGAAATTGATACATTATTTATTCAGTAGCCAATACACTATTTTCCATTATAAATATATCAACACAGTATACTTTTTGCTAATAATAGGGCACGCTTTTCAAAGTCTAGGATGTTTTTCCTGTTCTCAAACCTACAAAGCATAGCATTAAAAATCCCAGTTTAGAGTAGCTTAGGTGCATTTTTAGAACAGAGTATTATTTTCTTTAATTTTTTTTTAAAGTTTACTTCTTTTTTTTTGTTCTTTCACAGGTGAAACCTTGTTCTTTCTAAACTGAAATTTTTATTTCAAAAATTGTGATGGAATTGGAAATTAATATTGAAATGAAACCTGCTCTTTTGTTTTTAATAATTTTAATTCAAGCACCATTTAAAAAATGAAACAGCTTTCATCCAAATCTTTGCTAGAAATACATTAAACTTCAGAAAGAGGTATAATTTTTATTGAAGTGGGTATGTGACTTTTCCCATAGGCACCTGTTTCTGAAATGGCTGAACCGTTCAATTGACTTTGCTGAAGTGGAATTTTTTCAAAGGTTTTGTATTAATATAAAACATCTGCAGTTTTGTACCATTTCTCTACATCCAAATCTCAAATTGAAAAGACAAAGACTGACAGCATTCCTGACGCTTGAAAGAAATTAATAGAATGGATATACAATAGGTTATAGGCAATAAAATAGCTGGGTGAAAAAAATCTCCCTGACCTGACCTGACAAAGTGCTGAGCAGTGCAAAATGGGAGTTCAGCATTCCCAGCTACCTAAGAGAAGGTGCCAGACCCTGTCAGGATCGGGCCATTCTGGCTCAGGACAAGGACCAGCAGTCTTTGAGAATGGCTGCACAGTTTCAACAGTATTAACATGTTGAGTAGACCACATCCTGAGCAGAGGGCAATGAGCTGAAGAGAGCTATCGTTAAAAAAAAATAACAAAATAAACTGAGTTGTAATCAACATTAGCAAAAAATATTTTAACAATAAAATAGACACTTGTAATATAGTTTATGGGTAAACAGGGACACAGTAACTAAAGAACATTCTTAAACACCTTCCAGTTAAGAGCACAACTGAAATCATCTTCTATAAAATGTGCTCTACTATATAGCTCTAAAAACTGCATAAAATTAAAGGTGCAAAGTTTTAAGAATCAAATTTCTTCTAACAGTTGGATGGGGACGGTAGTATAGGCAACTGATTAATTAAAAAGCACGTTGGTATTCCATGCTGATTATAATTGTTGTAAAAAAAAAAAAAAAAATCCTAGCTTGTTTAAATTCCTTTAAAAAACCAGCCAAATAAACAAACAAAATCCTACAAAACCCCCCCCCAAAATAAAACTCTCTTCTAACTTTTTAAAACAGACAGATTTGTAAGTATCTATGTAGTAAGTATATGTGTATCCTTTTGTTAAGTCAGGGATTTGAAAGCTTTTAGATCCTAAATCTCATGTATTATTATGTAACTCCACTATAAAAACAAAGGAGGGAAGGAAAGATTATTATACTGTTACAAATTACGTGATCTCCTCATTTGCTGAATTATTTCAGCATGTATTTGTGTAATGCACTTACTGAGGAAGAGGATGTGTCACAAACCCCGTGTTAATTTTAAGAGAGTATGTAGGAATAACAATAAAACTGTCACTCCTTTACTGCCATTATAATTTTATTTCACACAGTGTAAAGTGGTCACATCAGTATGCTGAATAACACTCAAAATGAATAAGCCTAAATTTGCCTACATGGACTCATTCTGGCTTCATGAGATGCCACAAATAAGCTAAGGATGCTGAAATAAATTCTTGCACGCCAGTGAAAATAACCCTCCCATTTCAAACTAGATTATGAGAAAATTATAAACTTAAAACCTTGCAACATAACTTGAGACATTAAAAAAAAAAAAAAAATTAAAAAAGCCTCTTACGCAAAACATGTGAAAGATGATACAGCTGCTGCACTGCCTCCTGAGCTCCCTCCCGTTATCACCCAGTTAGACTCTTCGTCCTCAGAATGGGATTTTGGGACAGATTTTTCCTTGTACTGCCTTGAATAACTCCATGGATTTCTGACTGGTCCAAATACTCCATCTGTACTCCCAGATCTGAGATAGTCAGGCAAGACAAACACAGACAGAAGTGACAGGTGACACACTGCATTCACCAAGTTTTTTTTCTGTATCCAATTCCTCATCCTTCATCCTAGCAAATTCAATTTCAACACAAAAAGACTGGTGCACATACATCCTTGTACAAATTCAACAATGTTACACAGAATTGTAAAGTTTATAGATCTTCACCCCTTTCTGATGCAGAACCTGAACTTGTACCTCCTTCTAAATTCTGATAATGCCACTGAAAAGAACATTAATCACAAAAACATAAAACTGATTGAAGCTTTGGGATAGTAAAGCTGCACGTCTGCTTCAAAACAAAGGTCTTCTGGTTTCCCAGCTCTACATTTGGAAAAGCCAAAAGAAGATGACCACAGTCTTGTGGAAAACCACGCTGATAGAGGTTGGGGGAAAAGCCCTGCAATAGCAGGAACAAGCACTTCTCTGTAAATAACACACTATTACTCACTCTGCAGCCCTCTCCTGAGGCCACAGTTCACCGAGTGCCAGGCTGGCTTCTCAGAAAACAGTTGCAGTCAGCCTGTGGTCAGCTAAATGTGAGCTGCCACCAGAAGCAGGGCAGAGGGTACTTTCCCCCTTCCTCACAACTTCCACCCCATGTTCTCCCTGACTCCAGGGTGGCAGTGTCATTAGCCAAATCAGCAGACAAAGTGGGGTGTTGACACAGCAGCTGAAAACTAACCTTATTGAGACATCATTGCTTTGAGCTGGATCAGCTCCCTGATCAAGGTCATGGTGCTGCTGCTAGCAAAGAGACCATACAAACACACTGAACAGAGATGAGAGGCCAGCAAAGGGATAAGCCTTTTTAGGAGAATTCTGTGCTTTAATGAGCTTGGGCCAGTTGTAACACAGCATAATGAGTTTTTTCTGTGCTTTTTTCCCCTTGCTCTTCCTCTGGAGAGTGTCTCTGATACAGAAATTATTTTATCCCAAACCACATGGTCAAAGTATTTACACCCCGTCCATGTGACCTCCCAATCAAGCCTCTGTCTTCAGTTCAGGTAAAATAAAAACAAAACCAAAACACAACACTTACTGTTTCTCACAGGTAACTAAAGCCACAGACATTCCTTTCCAGACCCAGCAGTTGTGGTGACAGAGACTCCCATCCCTAATGGCCCAACGCTGTTCCCTGCTATAGCTTGGCTACCTTCACCAATTTGCTGGAGAATCAATTTGTGAAAGCATTTTCCATTTGTTTTTCTGACAAAAAGTCACCAATACTAGCTTAGACAATTTAAAGTGCTGCTCTAGGTAAGCCTGTTCGCAGCAACTCAAGGAGCACTCAAACAAATTACTCCAGTGACTGACTGGCAGAGACAGTGACTGCCACTGGGGCCATGATAATAATTAGCTAAGGGGCAAAACCCACCAGTAAGGGGAGAGAAAAAGGCCTTCAGCAAAGGCTGTACCACTTCCTCCCCCTCTGCTGAACACTTATGTTCATAAAACTCAACATTTCTATAATTTATACAAAAGTATAAATATTCAGGGAGAAATTCATGCAACTCTATATACTCTTCACGAGTAAGCATTCATTATTTTCTAACCTCACAGAAAGAGGAGTCAAGGATTACAGGTAGATCAGAACAGATGGTGTGTATCCTATTTAATGTGCAATCACACATTAAAAATAATAAACATCACTCACCCCATTGCAAATTCATCTAAGTTTGTTTTTCCTAAAAGCACAGCTCCCTGATCCAGTAATTTCTGAACTACTGTAGCATTGTAAGGAGAAATATAACCTGGAAACAAACAGAATAATTAAGAGAGTGATTGATAAGATACAGATGATTTTTAGAAGTAGCTACTCTGAACACTTCAAAGTTGTCATTATTTGTGCATAAGAATTGTCAGTTTACAGTGTCAACATTTTGCTTCAAGATAACATGAGTAATTTCCAAAATTTAGCAAAAGTAAACCAAATGCTGTTTTGTTTGACATGTCTTTTTTTCCTTCACAATTTATGATCCAGTAATTCTGGATTATACATTTCTAGAGCGTGGAGCTAGGACTTTGTATAAACAAGTTACCACAAGGGTAGCAAATTACTGCATTCAGTCAATTTGCAGGAATTGTCTAAAATTAGAAAAAATGAGAAACAGCTCTTCACAGAAAAGTGCTAAGCTATCTTGAATTATCTCCCATTACCATGAGATAAAGAAGCATACGGTTAACCACAAGCTGAAATAATAACTGGCTATCCTGTGACCAAACGTGTGCACCCTTGACCACTCAGACCTTACATAAACTAGGATGAAAAAAACCCATGATACCTACATGAGATCCTAGGTAGCAAACAATTCCTTTTGTGAATATTGACAGGGGTTTCTCTACTCCTACCCTCAAGAGGAACAACAAGGACAACATACATCACTCCTAATACTCTCAGCCGCGACATTGCAATCAGTCACAACAGAACATGCTTTAAGGAAAAGCATCTCAGGTAATACAACACTTTTTAAAATGGCAAGGTCATAGTTTGTTTCTTCTGCTATTAAAAAAACCCATAATCAGATGAGGGTTCTGATCATTTACTTGGGCTATCTTCCACAAAACTTTCCAGTTTTACTTTGTGCAGAATAAAACAGATGTAAGAAATGTTTTCTACTAATGTTTTTACTATGAAAACATTCTAACGCCTTGAAAACGTTCGTGGCGTGTTAATAGAAACAGTGAGCTCAGAAAATGGAAAAAAAATTTAAAAAGCCTTATAGACAATGTCTGCATATCAGGAATATCGAGAAAGGAATTGTTAACGTCTACTCTTCCCATAGCCATCTGAACAAACTACTTAAGTCAACAATTATCAACAGAACAAAAAAAAATAGACTGTATTTGGATTTTGCTAGACAGAAGAGCAGCAAACAGTACTGGCTGCTTTCCTGGAGATCTAAAAGTAATGTGAAGCAAAATGTGAACTACAAAACGATTCAATTTTAGCATATGGGCTAAAATAAACATTGTTTTGTTAAAAGCATGTAACCATATGAATAAAGGAGATAAAGTGCTTACACAAGAAAAAGATGCATCTGTAATACCAGATGAGCTTGGCAGAAGAAATGAGATAAACATATTTTTCCAAATGAGTTCAGCTCAATTTTTGAAAATATTTAGATTTCTGGAAGACTCCACTCCATAAATCCTTAGAGCAAGAGCTCTGAAATGAGATCTGATTTTACTTTAAAAGTTCTACTGTACCTTTTAGCATGTTTGATGCACATGTTGTCTCAATGCCAGCTGTATTAAAGTTGTCTTTTACTGCAATAGGAATTCCATCTAAAACACCCAGTGGCTGACCTGCATTAGGAATTATTGCAAAAACAACAGAGATTAAAGCAAAGTGTGCTATATGTACAGTCTTCTCATCAATTACAATTTATTTCCCATGTCCCTATGGGTGGTTTTCTTTTGGAAGAAAGAATGCTATCCACTTAGCATTTGATGGCTGTCTGTTACATTTTCATGAACCATCTTTCATTCTAACTCTAGAATTGAGCATTCTGCCCAGAGCAGCCCTGACCCCACAGAGCAGAGCTCTGCAAATGTGTCCAAGCCTGCAAGACACAGAACTGCTCTCATATAGGTTAGCTATCCCAAAGGAGTGCTTACCTCTTCAAATATGATCATGTAATGCTTATTTGAGCCATAGATGCTGCCTAAATCTACTCCATCCCTAGGCTGGGAGACATAAATTCTGCCTACCTGACATGCACAGTAGATTTTATTGAAAAAAATTACTGAAGCAGAGAAAATCTTCCCTAGGTGATCAATTATCTACCATCCACACACACCAAAAAAAAAAAGCCTATGTCAGAAAGAAAATGCTCTGATGGCTGGCAATTTTCTTAAGCTGTCAGAGGACAGCAAGTGTCACCCAGGAAAGAAAACAAATACCCTATGAGGTGAAAATTTCCCTTTTCTGTTTTCCAGGCAATGCAAAGGAAAATGAGGATGGTCAGCCTCCAAATGCTGGGTTTAATGCTACTCTGTTCACCAACAAATAACTGCAATTAACAAAGTTGCTTTATTTTTCATTTGCTTTCTTAATTTCAAACCTGATAGGCTGAGCTGGATGTTTGCCTGCCCCACCTAAAAGGCCTGCAAAAGACCACACCATCCTCTTGTTTGTGGTAACTGCTGGCTACCAACTTAAAATAAACTGCTGAGGGAAAGTTTTGAAAGAGAAGGCAACCCATACAGTGCTGTTCAAGCAGGACAGAGCCTATTTTACCTGCAGTGGTTTGGTCCAGATCTTGCCTTTGATTTTTGAACTGAATAACGCTAGTGGGGGTGCCAAGCACATGCTCACAAGCACTCACACACAGAAGTCTCAACCACAATCCTCATCCCCCAGCAGTCACACAGGTAGCACGTACATCTGCTTTTAAAATAGAAATGCTTCACCTAACAGGAAGAACTCTTTTCTTAAAGACTAATATCAATTACAAACATACCTCTTCTGTATCTCTTCTCGGATTCTTCAGCCTGCTTCAAAGCAG